ATCACCATTAAATTCTGACACGAAACTGAGACCTCACTTCCAGATAAACCATGTGGCTTGGCAGGCCAACGCCTGAAATAACTGAAGCAACGAGGAAGAAAATATTTTGTGGCTATAATTCAGAAGAAGATTTATCTCTATATTGTTGCCAAACTTGGAGCACTGGGGAACTATCAGAGGATTGGAAAAGGGCTGATGTGGTTCCCATTTTCAAAAAAAAAGGGGGGGGGAAACAGACCCAGGAAACTACAGACCAATCAGCCTGACATCAATACCTGGGAAGATACTGGAATAAATAATCAAAAAACAGATCTGTGAACATCTAGAAAGTTATAATAGCCAGCACGGATTTATTAAAAACAGATCATATCAAACCAATCTTATTTCATCTTTGATAAAGTGACTAAATTAGTAGACCAGCCAAATGCTGTGGACACAATATATTTAGACTTCAGCAAGGCATTTGACAAAGTAGACCACAACCTACTTCTTGGTAAGCTAGAAAAATGTGAGATAGACAACATCACCACTAGATGGATTTGTAACTGTCTGACAAACCGTACTCAACGAGCAGTCCTTATTGGTACTTCATCCACATGGAGGGAAGTAAGCAGTGGGGTACCACAAGGTTCCGTCTTAGGCCCAGTACTCTTCAATATCTTCATAAATGACTTAGACGAGGGAACTGAAGGGGAATTCATCAAATTTGCAGATGATACTAAGCTGGCAGGAATAGCCTGTTGAAAGAAAAATCTTCATCAGGGTCCAGTCCAAGCAGGGAATAAACAAAATGGTGACTGCTTTAGAAAGAAGGTTGTAGTTTTATTGAAGGGCAGAGCCAGACAAAAGATGGCTCTGGGAAAGCTGACCACATGTTGCTGGGAGTGGTGGGTTTTTATACCTTCTGGGGCTTTTGAGGTTGTTTCCTGTTCCTGTTTGAGGCTTTATATTTCCTGTGTCATGTACTTTGACCTGAGTCTGAGTGTGTCCTTTTGGTATTGGTGGGTTAATCCTATTATGTCCCCAAAGGTCATGTCTTTTAGAATTTAGGTGGGGTATGTAGATTTTAGGGGTCTTTGTCTTCCTAATCTCATCAGCTTCTAGCTTCCGGACTTCAACCTTCCTGAATGGATTATTACATCTGCATTTCTAAAAACTGGTTTCTGCTGAGTTTTCTGGCTGGGGGGAAGGAGAGGTTTCTGCCTTTTTTAAAGATCTTCTCCATTATTCCTTTGGAGAAATATATTTTGCCTTTTTAATATTCCCCCAAAATATTTATTTCTCTGGATTCTTCCCACAAGCCAACACCCCAGAAGACAAGCTCAGAATCCAAAAAGATGTTGACAGACTTGAACAATGGGCCCTATCCAACAAAATGATATTTAATGTGGAGAAAAGCAAGGTTTTACACCTGGGCAGGAAAAATCAAAGGTACAAGTACAGATTAGGCAAAATCTGGCTCAAAAACAGTAATTGTGAGTGGGATTTTGGAGTCCTAGTGGACGATCACTTAAACATGAGTCAGCAGTGTGCGGCAGCAGCCAAAAAAGCTAATACAATCCTGGGTTGTATAAACAGAGGCATAGGATCAAAATCACGTGAAGTATTAGTACCGCTTTATAAAGCTTTAGTAAGGCCACATCTGGAATACTGCATCCAGTTTTGGTCACCACATTACAAAAAACATGTTTGAGGCCTTGGAAAAAGTGCAAAGAAGAGCAACTATGATAATTAAAGGCCTGAAGACTAAAACATATGAAGAACGGTTGCAGGATTTGGGAATGGCCAGTCTAGAGAAAAGAAGGACTAGTGGGGACATGATAGCAGTATTCTAGTATTTGAGAGGCTGCCACAAAGAGGAGGGGGTCAATTTATTTTCCAAAGCACCAAAAGGCAAGACAAGAAACAACAGATGGAAACTAATCAAGGAGAGAAGCAACCTGGAATTAAGGAGAAACTTCCTAACAGGACAATTCATCAGTGGAACAGCTTGCCTTCAGATGTTATGGGTGCTTCATCACTTGAGGTTTTTAAGAAGAGACTGGACAGCCACTTGTCTGAAATGATATAGAAACTCCTACTTGAGCAGGGGGCTGGACTAGAAGACCTCCAAGGTCCCTTCCAGCTCTATTCTATTCTACTGCTTTACAGCAGAGATGCTCAAACTTGGTAACTTTTTAAAATATTGTTTAGAGTCAGAAAACATACCATTATGGTTGTAAGTCATTATAAGTTGAGGACTAGTAGTCCTCAACCCAATCATAATTCTGGGTTCAATTACAATCATAAATCAAGGATTTCCTATATTTGATTGTATCAGGGAGGGTAACAGTTTATTTGGTTTTATATTTGGGATTTTACTTTTCTGTAAGTGTAGGTGAGTTTGGTGGCTATCTAAATTTTCTTAATATATCAATAATAAAAAATAAATACCAAACGGCAAGACCAAGCGGGATTGTAGCTACAATGCAAGGAGCAAAATAAGTAAGCAGCAATCCCCACTGATCCCTATGGAGAAGCTTCACAAAGAGGGTCTCACATCTGGTTATATCTGGGATAGGGGACAGGCCAACCACAATGGGCATATTGCAGATCCCATCAGCCAAAGAGTGTTGCCTGACAGGGACTAGAAGACAGGTAGCTGTAGCTCTGGCTCTGTGAAATATTCCCCCCTTGGGGATTAAAATGGACCCAACCATGCAAGCCTTTTGTTAGGCTTTTAACATTTGGCTCTATACCTGAGCTTGGAGCTCTGAATGTGCTAAGGGTCTCATTTTTTTTACTTTACTGTTAACTGGTTAATTATCCTGGCAGCTGTATGTATTTATTTTGGATGTTTTTATCATCTTAAATGCTTTTAAAATTGTGTTTAATAGTTTAGGAACAGTAAGCCGCCCAGAGTCACTGGTTGAGATGGGCGGCTATAGAAATTGAATACATACATAAATAAATGCAAATATCCTGTAAACAGAGGGCTAAATGCCTACATATTAGACATGGAAATCTCTGTTTCTCCATTGCAACTTCCATCATTCCTGACTTCAGGCCATGCTAGACCTCAGGCTGATGGAATTGGCATCTAATGGCAATGTGAAGGGCGGTGGGGTTCTCTTCTCTGAAATGTGCCTCCTGAACTTTGAGTGTGACTTTAGTTGTGACTCCAGAGCAGGGGAGGAAGTGTGGTTGTTGTCTCTGGTGGCCTCCTGGCCCCTATCCCTTTCATCACGCCTGATGAATCTGAAAAAGTTTGAGGAAGGGGGATATGGGATCAAAATTTTATGCAGGACTAAGGAACTCATTCCTAAAAACAGTTTGGAAGCAAAAAAATGCCATCATGTTGTATACATTAACTTGTTTTAAGAACTAGAGCACCTAGACTGCCAAAATAACTCACTGTTATCTTAAAGAAATGAGTCACATCCTTTTGCTAATGTGTATTTAAATCTGAAATATTTAAATATTTGGAACATGAACCCATTATGTAACAATTCAAATTGATCCTAGATAATCAAGATCTGGTGTCTTGCATTCAAAGGTAAAGTATGTCTTAATGCATATCATAGAGACAGCCTGTTTATTTGATCACTAATGTCATTTATAATATAAATTGCATCAGATACATTTTATACAACCAGATGCAATGATAGGTGATTTAATTATTAGCAATATTCTCTGTTTTTTTCAGAGTTGTATCTGCTTTTGAAGAAGGACTGTGCCAGTCCTTCAGAAACCAGGAAAAGTGCAGGTGTGTGAGCTGGCATCTCTTTCGTGGATTAGGTCCTCCTTCTTTGCTGATTTTAATAATATTAATAATGTTAATATTAACCCCTAGATTGCCTGATTGCCAATGACTGCGCTGCTCAAACTATGAAAACAAAGACAATACAACCAAGAAAAGAAAGGGAAAAAATTAAAGAGGGGAAAATCAACAGACTGGATTTGGTTTGGGGGAAGCCCCCCCCCAAACCCAAAAAGAAAAAAAAAGATACTTCTAAGCAGTTTCCTTCATTATTCCTCACCTACGGAAAGAGAACTTGCCAAATTAAAGCAATTACAGATAGTCCTTGACTTACAACCACAACTGAGCGCAAAATTTATGTCGTTAAGTGAGCTTTGCCCCATTTTGTGACTTTTCTTACCACACTTGTTAAATGAATCATTGCAGTTATTAAGATAGTCACCTGGTTGATAGTTGAACATGGCTTCCCCCATCAACTTTGCTTGTCAGAAGGTCGCAAAAGGGAATCACTTGACCCCAGGACATTGCAACTGTCATAAATATGAACTAATTCCCAACTATCTGAATTTTCATCAAATGACCATGGGGATACTGCAACGGTCGTGTGAAAAATTGTCATAAGTCATTTTTTTTCAGTGCTGTGGTAACTTTGAACAGTCACTAAATGAACTGTTGTAAGTCGAGGACAACCTGTACTTGCATCATGAAAGAAATATTCTGAGAATTTCTAGGGAGGAGCTGTCTTGACTCTCTTCCTCCCCACCAAAATATCTAAACTTTGCTGTCTCTGAGATGCAGCCTCTCCCTCTTGGAATCCAGACTACGTTCACACTCCTTCACTAAAGACCTGAGGGAAGAGCTGCTCAAAACACCAGCAGGGTGGGACCATGGGGAACCTTATTCTGTAGGTGCTGCTACAGAGGAGGCATACTTCCAGGGTCCTGATAAACGGCATTGTTTAACTGAGGGAATCCAGATTGTGCCAGCATTGCCAGATCAAATCAGCCAGGCAGATAGTATGAGCTGTAAAACTGAGCTGTGAAACATAACAGGGCCAACATGGACCTTTTTTTCCCCTATTAACAGTTATTTTAGGGCAGGGATAGGCAACCTTGGCTCTTTTATGACTCGTGGACTTCAACTCCCAGAATTCCTGAGCCAGCCTCCAGAATGTCACAATATTCCCTGCTTTTCAGCTGAATCAAAAGGATTCAATCTACCTGTAAGACCTGGTCAATCCTCAATAGGATTAGAACCCAACATGGCAGGTGCGCTAATCTCCTCCATAAATGAGGAAAGCTCTGCTATTCAAAATGGAGCTGTGAAGCTCCAAAGCAGACAATGCAACATATTGTAGAACAGTGCCCTCTGAGCGCATATCAGGGAAGCCCTACTAGGGGTAGGTAACCTTGGTTCTTTTATGACTTGTGGACTTCAGCTCCCAGAATTCCTGAGCCAGCCATGCTGAGGGGAAAGGGAAGAGGTTTCCAAGCTGAGCCATGCTGGCTCAGGAATTCTGGGAGTTGAAGTCCACGAGTCATAAAAGAGCCAAGGTTGCCTACCCCTGTTTTAGGGCATGAGTTCTTCTGATGGTCAAAATCTTCTTTGCTGGCAGCCTATTTACTTTGTTCAGGCTTGAGAGGAATCATACCTTTCAGTTGTGACGACAGTGTTACTATCTGGGATGAGAGTAGCTCAGGGTAGTAGGCCATACTGGTTGGAAAATCTGGAAGCTGTTGGCTCAGCACATCTGGAAGGCTTTTTTTTCTGACACAAAGCACTAGTCCCCACAAAATATGGAATGGAGTTCCACTTGGGGACGTCAATTTTTTGTTTCTTTCTTTAAATCAACAGAAGGATTGTGATGTTTGAATGGTACATCTAGGGATTTTTTCCTCATAGAACGCCCAGAATGGAGTTCCGGCACTTTTTTGGGATGAAACTTTATAGAGTAGGCAAGGCGGGTTGTATGATGTGTTGTACACCTTTTTTCTTTTTTTTTAGAAAAAAAGCACTGGGTACATCCATCCAGTTTTCCTGCCACAGGAAAGGCATGGCTTGTCCAGGTGGTTTTTCCCACTTCCAAGAAATCTCAGGTTTCCCCAACCAAAGGAACAGCTGGATACATTCTGGGATAAGTCCCGCTGGGCCAGTGTTTCTCAACCTTGACAATTTTAAGGCATGTGGACTTCAACTCCCAGAATTCCACAGCCAGCAATGCTGGCTGTGGAATTCTGGGAGTTGAAGTCCACATGCCTTAAAA